TCCAGCCAGCTGATCACTCTAGGGCCGTCATTTTTACGATTCTGAGATTTTTAAGGGGAAAGAACTTTATTTACTTTAATCTGCTGCTCATGTTAACTGACATTTCCTGTTTCTATTTTTCTTTCATTTTTGTCTCGTTTTTTAAATGAAATAAAATAATTGTATCAGCGAGGCCGAGGATGATCGACGCAGACGCATCAGTGACCCATCAGACAGTTAACTTTAGTTGAAGGTTTGATGTTACTGCCCACCTCAGCCGGTCCACTCAGACCCAAAGCCAGACCAGATCCTGTGGTCTCCTGTAATCACACAGGACAGCCTGGATGTGTCAGGTCAGATGATGAGAAAGTGTTCTGTAGAAGGCGAAGGTGTCCTGTGGCTGTAATTTACCATCTCTTGGGCATAGCGGCTAGAAATGTGTTGGTTTTGTTCAGGAGCCCCCCCCACCCCGCTTAGGAGCAGCTTTGGAAAAGAAAACAGCAGCAGGTGCAAAAAACATATGATGTTTGTCATTAATGTGAAAAGAAGGTCAGGGGGAAACGTTCAGGGGAATCAATCCATTTCTGTAAATAATAATGTAATTTCAAACTTTGAACCTGTGCGGTAAAAAACAATAAAACAGTCTTATTTATTTTACAGAGTTATTTTTAATCCAGACTACAAATAAATCCATATGCAGGGGTTCCGCGGGTCATTTAAAGTCATTAAATTATTCTTTTTTATATTAAGGCCTTAATTGGCATTAAAATTCATTAAATGTGTTTATTGTGGCATTTAAAAGTCTTTATTTAAAAGAAATGTTTATAAAAACTAGTTCGACATATTATATCGCGATATATTTGCGTGGAACTGCGTTCCGGTTGATCGCAAAGCTGTATGTTCAGAAAAGAAGCTCGAGTCGGAGAAAAAGTGTTTGGAAAACGAGGGATTTGGGACCTGGCAGCAGCCAGACGGGTTTCTGTTGGTGGCATTAAAATCATTTCTAAGAGCATTAAAAGGCATTCAATTAGTTATTCATTCCTGTATGAACCCTGATATGAGTTTATATCACACACTAGAACCATTTCAGTTGATGACATCATCGCTTTTCATGCATTTTATTGGGAAAAACTGACGGCCATTGGGAGCTCTGGGATGGTAGCTGTAGTCGGTAGTAGTCTGTGATCGCCCGTACGCCTGGCCGCACCCTCCTGGTGTCAGGAAACAGTCGAAAAGCTGAACTAAATCAACATGTTTTTCATTTAAATCTAAAGGACTGAAACTATAAACAAATGAATTTGTATTTTGCCAATAAAGACATCAAATCTACCGCCTAGAGGATTTGTATGAAATGGTTTATACACCACTTATTATTATTATTATTATTATTATTATTATTATTATTATTATTATTATTATTATTATAAATATGATGTTTCTGTGACTGAGGACAGTCGGTGTTTCCTGTTCATCTTTGCAGAGTAAAGAAGAGGTGATGGCGGTTCGACTGCGGGAGGCAGACAGCATGGCCGCCATGGCCGAACTCAGACAGAAGATTGCAGAACTTGAAATACAGGTGTGTGTGTGTGTGTGGGGTGGGGTGGGGGGGTCACAGCAATCCTCCCCCTAAACTGTCACTGCTCCTGCAGAAGGAAGAGGGGCTGATCAAGGGCCAGCTGAACCACTCAGACTCCAGGCAGTACATCAGTCAGCTGCGGGACCAGATCGCTGAGCTGAAGAACGAGGTCAGAGACGCCATCTTCTACCCGCCGTTTGAGGCTACGCTACTTAAGCTTTTATCTTGAGTCTATTTTATCCAATACAGCTCTGATAGCCAAACAGCCTTGCTTTCACTAGCAGACCAGTATGACCAGTATGACTGTTGCCAAAATGTTCTGATGATATTTGTTCATTAAACTTGAGGGAGTAAAATCGTACACAACAAAGACGGGAAAGGAGGAGAGAAAGAAATCAGGGATTTAAACCTGGGATCAGTGGGCGTCTAGTGGCAGTAGAAACGGCTCACTGACACGAGTCTACCCGGGTCAAAAGACTCGGTCAAAAATCGGCTCGACTCTGATCGGCATGCTGTGGGAACACCAGAGCTGCTTCGACGCGCAAAATTTCATGAAACCGTTGAACGCATCGTACGGACATCAGCACGCCGCGCCGGTCGCTTCTGATCTAACAAGCAGAATCACCATTGGATAAAGATGGAGCAGCTGTGGTGAGAGAGAGTCAGACAGATAACAGAGAGAAACAATAAAGCTCACTGACTACGCCCTGGCTTCCTGATATGATGCTCTACATTGTTTACTTCCCTGATTTTCTTACCTGGTGACATCATCACCGCTAACCCAGCTTGATGATTTCACCCGAGGGGACAGAGACCATGGAGCTGCTGGGGGGGGGGGTTCACCAGCATTTTATGCCAGCGGGAAGCGAGCTAAATGCTAATTGTTAGCGAGTCGACCCATGTTTGAAAAATGTGTTTATCCTGTAGTGGGGAAAAAAGTATTCAACTATTCATCCTAGTTAAATCAAATAAAATCGATGGATTTCACTCAGTCGGTACGTTTATTAATATCTTTGCAAAGAGAGAACAGTTCATCATGAAGCCGTAATGGCAGCAATCTGCCCTGTTCTGCCTGAGCAGCGTTCGTTCCTCCTTAATTACAATAATGGAAAACAGTCGGAGTCAAACTAATTACAGACACTTTGGGTAAACAGTAACATGTTATGAATAAACCTGAGAAATAATCTGGTTTGTTATGGAAGAAGCTACGTCTGCTCTACAAACACCATCCTGCAGGGAATGATGCCGCCTTCAAGGTGAAACAGACTGAGGGAAAACTTTTATAGAGAGTAAATAGGATAAATTAATATATAATAGAAGAGAAATCTAAATTTTCCGAAAACAGTCCGCTATTGTCAGAGACAGGAAAGATTGCATGCAAAAAAAGAGAGAAAATAAAACAGCAAAGATGTAGAACAACTTCTGGAATTCTGCTTCTACACCTGGATGAGACGAGAGGAACAGAAAACAGCAAAGAGGAGAGAAAAGACCAAGTAAACATCAGAAAGCTTCCAGAGCAGCAGGTATCCCTTAGGGATCCATGTGTGTGGAAGGAAACCCCTGAGGTCATTAAACAATATTAATATTCATTATAGATCTGGAGCTGCAGCTCAGTATTCACTATCAGTCTGAATCTGGGAACATCTGCAACCAAACCATGAGGCTTATTGTGTGGTTTTTACTTCTTTAAGAGCATTTAAAACATGCTTTCCAAACATCTTTAAAAAAGGAAGAAAGTAGATCGATTTAAGCAGCAAACCGCTGGAATAATTAACCTAAACGC